CCCAGCATCTCCGTGCCCTCCTCTGGCCCCGCTCCAACAGCTCCGTCTCCTTCTGCTGGTGGGACCCCCCGAGTGGAGGCAGCACTGCAGGGGGGTCTCCCCAGAGCAGAGCGCAGCAGAGGGGCACAGTCCCCCCTCGCCCTGCTGGCCACGCTGCTGGGGATGCAGCCCGGGGTGCCGGGGGCTCGCTGGGCTGCCGGCGCACATTGCTGGCTCATGGTGAGCTTTTCGTCAATCAGCACCCCCAAGTCCTTCTCCCCAGAGCTGCTCTCCAGTCATTCTCCACCCAACCTGGAGCTGTGCTGGGGATTGCCCCAGCCCAGGTGCAGGACCTTGCATGAATATGGACATGCTCGTGGTTTTCATGCTCACTCACTTCAGCCTCTAAACACAGTTGGGTGGGAAAGCCAGAAGCTGCTCAATTCACATCATCCACACAACATTTTTCCTGTTTGTGGGTCACAGTCCTGCCGCTTCCTATCTTGATTTAAACAAAACAAAATTCTGTTTCACCTTTTGAAAACACTTCTTACATGTAATTTTTTCTTCTAAGCTGGGAACGTTAAGTGATTTCTTTATAATTTTCAGGTAACATCATACTTCTACAAAGTACAGAGAGTTAACAAAACACACAGGTGGAAACGAGCACCAGTCTGAAGTCTCAAAGCTGCTCATCTTGAATTTCGAGTTTCTCCCAAAAACATTTCTAGTTGGAGAAACAACACACAGCCAACTTGACCCTAGTAGGTGCTTGGTGTTTACTAACTGAAATTTTACATTTTATTTTCACTGCAGTGCTGTCGCTCAACTTTCAGCGGGTACAGCAAGTAACTTACCGAATAAACAGCGAGAGGTTAGACCTCAGTCGTGAGAGTCATGCCTTTACCCTACCATTACCACATCAGTTTCCATCAAACGTTGTCAGGTTTTATCTCCACCACTCTTCCCACAGAGATTTCCAAATGACACCATCCCTGTACAGTCCCCTCAGGAAAGGCCAGACACGAAGGTAGGTCTGCATTTTGTTCCCAGCCGGGGACTCTAGAAGAAGACTTCCCTGACCGTGATGTGAAATCACACGCCATTTACCCAAACCAAGAGTTTTGTACCCACAGCCACCTGTACATATCTGATGGGAATAAATATACTACCACCTGCTACATGCAGTTTTCTTCAAAAACTTTTTCCTTTATTCGAGCCAGCCTGTTCCCCTGCTCTTGCTATCTTACGGCATGTCCTGGCACTTCGGGGAAGGCACCAAACGCGTTACTCCGTGTCTGTCTTTGCAAAGAGGGTACAGAAGGGACAATACCCACAAGCAGCTTTACGGGCACCAGAACGGACAAGACAGCAGATTTCCAGTCCCAGAAAGTAATGCTGCCAAAAATCCCTTCCTGGAGCCTGCCAACAAGCAAGAGCACTTCTGATCCCTGCAGAAACCACCTTCCTTTGCTTCAAGTTGCTGCTCTGCAACTTGTGAAGCACCATTAAGTCCTCCCAACAGGTCTCAATGCACCACCATGAACGGGGGCAGCACGGCACCTCCCCGCCATGCGTACATGAGTATGAAGCACAGCATTTAAAAACAAACAAACAAAAACAAACCAACAAAAAACCCCCAACCAACAAACCACAAGTATGTTCTCTTGTTGCAGGACATTGTTTTCAAGTCAAACTATGAGACTCCGGAGGGCGGCGGGGAGAGCGATGGCTAAAGAAGACTGCTGTTTCCCAAAAGCTGTGGCTCCCAGCCAAAGTCAGGCAAGCATGGAGCAGATGGAGTCCTGGCAAGGCCTCTCCTGTCCCTGCATTAGCAGCATCTGCTCATTACCCAGAACCCTCGCCTGCTTTATCTAATGCTCCAGGAAAAGCATTTTGATTTGATTCATTTCAGTTCGGTAACGTGCAACACAATTAGTGGTAAAATCAAACTGGAGGACTGCCAGTGCTGACAATAGGAAACAAGGCAGAAGAAATATGAGGCCAGTGGGTTGGAATTCAAAAATCACAACTGTGGATCAGGTTGCCAAGTCCCGTTGCCCCAGGTGTACATACAGTGCCCCCACTGAGCACTGGCATGGGCAGAGGGAACTTCATTTTCTCCCCATACATTTTTTCTCTCATTTCCCTCTCCTTGCAGTTTGTTTCTCAGAGGCTGACGCCGTCGGAAACATTCACCAGAAGTCACAATTCAATTTTTCTGCAGTGCCATCACAGAGTTACAATTCACTTTGGATGCAGGCATCCCAGTAAGACACATCTTTCTCCTTGCTATATTTCATATGCCTTGGGAAGCGTTCGCTACTACGGAACCAGCGAAACAGCGCTGTAAGGCAGGCACGGCGCGAGCAGAATCTGCCTGTTAGCTCTTCCCTGTGATCGGATGCCAAGGACATCGCTGCGTGAGCTCTGTTGAACTGGGAGAAACTGATGTTATCTGAACGAGTCTGCTAGCCAGGGATTCGAGAGAGAAGTCTAGACTCTTTGCCTGACAGCACCACCTCCAACACTAGCAGATGGTTTCTCTGTGTTAGTCAAACTTACAAACAAAGAGAAAAGGGAGCTGGAAAAGTACAACAAAGAACAATCAAACACATTATCTTCAAAGTCGTCCTCTCCCTTCCCAAGTTTAAAATAATTCTCTCCACCAAACTGTAAATATACACTTTCAGATTCCAGTTAGTAAACACTTCTAAAGTCAGTCTTTATAATTCCCTATTCACATAGAAACTAATCTATTCTGACCAGGCTTCTCAAATCAGAGTAACTGCCATATCACAGAGCCCATTAAAATTTCTACCCAAAAGAATAAAAGACGCCGAGCTTTATGCAAACTAGTTTAGTCACAGCACACACAGGACTGACAACAAGGAATATGACAGCAAAAAAAAACAAACCTAGACAAATTATTAGATTAGTCAGTGGGAGACTAGAAAACAAACAAAGACCCTCTGCTAGTCATTGTTGGCGCACTGGACAAGAAGCCAACGCTTAAAACTATCACTGTGCTATAATTTCCTATGACTCGAGGAAATAATATTAATGAGGTATTCTGTAATACCAGACTTGCTGTTGTCAGAAAACGTTACCTATCAACAATTTTTAGCCACAGAAAACCGTTCTAGCATGATCCATGCTAAAAAAACAGCTAAGGATGTTGATCATCTTAAAACAGTTGTTTTCAGATATAAAGCATTTAATTTCTTTCTAGAATAAAATATACGGATTAGAGATTTTGTTTGGATTACCCATCTTCGGTTCTGTTTTCACATGCAGAAATGCCAGGATCAAAGATGGTATGTGTACAGAACTCCCTAACTTTAAAAACGCTCTTTATTCATACCTAAGGAGAGGTTTTTAAGTGTCAAATCATACATTTTAGAGAAAGATGATAGGAGGCGAGTTCTGCCCGAGCAATTCAGCGTAGGATCCCAATTGACTAGCACTGTCCAAACCTGACTTTTTAAATTGCTGTTCCCACGTCCAATAGATGTACGGTTGGTTTCTGGCTCTTGTTGCCCATTACATAAACATCTAAGTACATTTAAAACAAGGCATATAACCAGGATTTTATTAGTGTTTCATTAGATATTAGGTCACAGTTGTTATTTCTTTGTATCAAAGTACATAACAACCCACTGTTGCAAACCAATACTTCAGTTAAGGAAATGCGCATCCATACACCATGCCAAGAGCAAGAGAGGACGCAGATTAATCAGACATGCAAGTTTACCAGTATTCCCATAACAAAGCTTCCCAGCACCCCAAGGGAGTTTTGGACAGAGGAGAAGGCTGGTGGAAGAATATTTAATATTTTTATAGCAAAACAAGTTATTTGCTTAAGATAGTTTGGCTGGACTACAGCCTGGCACTCAAGCTTTGTGTAGCAGTTCCAGTAGGAATTAAACATCAGTTTTAATGGGTGCTATGTTCCAATGCCTCCTAATGCATTTAGGGTTATTGGCCAACTTTCTCACATAAAAGCAAGTGTGTGTGCGTGTGTGTGTATACACAGGATTACAGACACACAAAAAGCTGAGCACAGCTGCTTCATTTTTGTAAAGCCTTTTTTTTTTTTTTTTTAATAGGGAGGAGAGTTGTGGTTACTTACCGTCCTCGTAAGCTGCTACAGCCAGAGAGCTGTTTATCCTCACAAAGGAGACACGTGGCTGAGGTCCAGCATCACCAGGACCGTGCACTGGTTCCAGGATGGGGGCTGTGTAGTCCCAGGTGCGAGTGTCCCACAACCTCACTTCTCCTGATGTATATCTGGAAAAGAAGGCTATTATTCATCCCAAAGCATCTGAAAAGAGGTAGCTGCAGGAGAAGGGAGGAAGAAACAAAGAACGTCTTAAAACCTAACACCATTTACAGCTCCTAGACCGATTCTCCTCCTGCTTACACGCTCTGCGTACAAGCCCATCAACTTTGCTCATTTTATTCCCATTTACTTACTGTAGCAACAAATCCACTAAGACGGGCAGGTAAATTGGAGCTACAAGAACGACACGACTGAGCTACCACAGGTTACCAACTATCGATATTAGCTTTACTACTAGAATGCAAGCAGAGACGGGCTCAAGTCAAAAAGGTAATCAGTAACGAGTCTAAATTACATCATGGCAAAACTTCAAACTGTTTCCTTTCGGTCCTTAAAAATTTGTGATTGTGGTTGTGCCAAAGACTTTAATGAGAGCATTTATGTACATACATACAAGCACTCACACGCATACATCCATCCAACCTACTGCTCTTTATAGAAAGAAACTTCGTAATTCCTCATCAATGGATCAGATTGCCTACATCTCCGAAGACTTAACACAATTAATTAATACAATTAAGTGTCGTCTTCAGAATTAAGGCAGTGCTGCCTTCTTTGCAGAAGGCTCTCGCTGAAACATCAGAAAAACTATAGCTTAACATCAAACTCTAGTTTGCTAATAAGAAAATAGAACTAAACTTCTCAGGTAATACTGAATATATCTGAATGAACGGAGGTTGTAACACAGCAAGCAACCCAAACTGTTCTGTGCCGTCTATGCCGGGGCACACAACATTCTATCAAAGAAAAAAAACACTGCATGCAAAGTAGAGGAGAAGGTCCGTCTACAAATGGTCAGAGAACACAGTTCAACAATTAAGACACGTTTTGACTGAACTGTGACAATTAACGCTGTCAAGCAGCCTCAGATATCTTTCTCTGCCATACCCAAGACTTGGATTCTGTTGGAAAATGAAGGGTGCTTCCTACTCTGTCAGCTTTGCTGTTATATGCTGCCTTTGGGGGGGAAAGTATTTCAAAAGAATGATTCTTATAAGCCTCAAAGATCTACCAGTTAGAAATCTGGCTGTCCTGTTTATGAGGAAAATAAGAAAATAATTATTTGCAAAGGAGGTGAAGGAAAGTGCTTAATAAAGGTTTAGAAGATGTTGGACTTCAACTGAGGTCACCCACGTCTCTGAGGAGTACCACGCAACTGGGCTACAGGTACTCTCGAGCAGATTACTTCCAACATCTCTGAGTGAAAATGCTCCACTTTATACAACTAATTAAAGTGCCTGAGGGGGCGGCGAAATCTGTCAAGCAGAAAGAGATGCACATTAATTCTCTGCACTGAATTGGGAAGAAAGGAAAACTGTGTCCTTGTCACCTGGCTTCCTCTTCGGTGCTTTACATGGTAAGACAGAAGAAAATGAGAGAGAATAGGGTGGGACAGCTCTTCTTTTTCCTCCTTTTACAAATGAGGCTCAAATCCCAATATGAATCTCGCTTTAATTTCCAATTTACAGCAGCACTATTTAAAAAGAACAGAGCAAGAAAGAAGCTTCCCCAAAGCAAAGCAAAACGTTTTGTGTTGGACCAAAAAAGCAGTCCAGATTAGTCCTCAACAAACATCTTCAGTCTACAAAACTGAAAAGTGCTCATTTCGGATACATTTTAAAATGTAGAGATAAAAGACAACGGGACAGGTAGTTGCACGGATCTGTTGCAATCCCATTCAACAAGACACACACACAACGTTTTGGAAGCATTTTGATTTTGAGCTGCTTTTTGTTTCCCTGTACGTCTGGGTTGGTCGGGGTCATGTTTTTGAACTTCTCCTAACTGCAAAGCGTAGACGCTTATTCTCAACGGGGAAGCCAAGATTCTCTTGTCACTACACGACCCTGAAAAGTGAGTTTCAAGGGAGATATAAAATACTGGTAGAACTGACAGAACTAAGTGACGGAATATTCATTTTCATCCCCAAATAAGCAAGGAAGAACAGCATCTCCTCCTAGTGCATATACATACTTTTTCTCACATAGTCCAGTCCAAGAACGTAAAACCAAAGAGTAAAGGATGGAGAAAACAGAATGATGGGAATAGAGGAGAGACACAGGGCTGGCTAATTCTGAGTGCTTCAATTTTATCTGAGAATTCAACCAAGTCAAAATTTAGTTTGAACCATTCTTTGTTCTTGAAGAAGAACCTGAAATACCTTTACGGCTAAGCTCAAACTGGAACAGCACCACCAAACATTCCTGACAATCAGTTGGAAACAAATTTGACTCCAAATTCCAATGTGTTCGTGGCGGGACCTGTTAAATGCAGGAACTGTCTTGCCTCTGCTTGGTAAGCTCTACGTCAGACCACCCTGCAGCCTCCTCATCCTCACCCCCTTCCTCTCCAGTGACAGACAGGTACATTCTGGGAACAGGACATTTGGGGAAGGACTTTCTACTAGGGCATGTAGTGACAGGACAAGGGGGAATGGATATAAACGGGGAGAGGGCAGGTTTAGATGAAACATTAGGAAGAAGTTTTTCACTTTGAGGGTTGTAAGGCACTGGCACAGGTTGCCCAGAGAGGCTGTTGAGGCCCCATCCCTGGAGGTGTTCAAGGCCAGGCTGGACATGGCCTTGGGCAACCTGGGCTGGTGGGAGGTGTCCCTGCCCATGGCAGGGGGTTGGAACTCGATGATCTTTAAGGTCCTTTCCAACCTAAACCATTCTATGATTCTCAAGAGCTTTCACTCCCATACCATGAAGCTGTGCTGCTCTCGCACCCCTACCAAGGACCTGCTGGAACACAAGAGCTTGTTACGTGTACGTCAGGTATGCTCTAGTGGGTTCAGAGAGACACCACACAACAATCCGTCAGAGGATCCTGGCCATACCATTCATTCCAGTTCAGCCATGAGACAGAGCATTACATGTGCTGGGAGAACCCTGTGAGCACCCACCAAAACCTACTTACATTCCTGTCTGTCCAGAAATCCCACCAGTGCACTGCAAGATAGGACAAGTGCTTCACGTTCATCAGGAAGAGGAGGGAGTAGGGCAGGAAGGCATCTTTGCCCCCAGTCCCTCCCTCATCTCTCCTACCCCCACTTCTCACTCAGCAACACCACTCGCATCCTTCCCAGAGCAGCACAACAGCATCTCGGTCCCCTGCGGCAAACCTAAAGGGTTTGGAGAGATGTTACAGGACCACGCTGGAAACGTAAGTGGAGGTCCAGGTTTGGGCAGAGAACCAGCATGGAGAAATGGGAAATATAAACCATCTCCTCAGCTGACAACACACTCCGTTGCCCATCACCACTGCGTGCCCATTTCCAGCATACACTGGGTCTGTACCAGAACTGAACTGGAAGAATTTCAAACACAGATGAAGCCAATTCAGAACTAAAAAATTTAATGGTTCAACTCCCTGCTTTTAATGCAGTTGTAAAGAGCAGCACACTTTCAATTTGTAACCACAACAAAAGGCTTTTAAACTATTAAAGCATTGCCTTGCTATAAAAAAATAAAAAGGCTGCTTTATTGCAGATAATTGGCAAATCTGCCATATCAATATAGATGGCTGATGAGAAGAACACGCTGCACTGTACGGAACCTATTTCTAGATAATTTCAGTATTTCCATTCATTTCCTACAACAGCCTCTATGCTTTGCCATGAAAACGTGTTTGGATGACCAGCTCCTGAATAAAAGAACCCAAGATTTAAGTCTTCTGCCCCAGAATAGGCACAGTCCTCCAACCTCACTCAGTTACTGAGTTTTCTATCAAGATGGCTATGAAAAGCCCACACAGCTTTCTGCTGGAGTAAAAGAAAAACAACTGTTTAATACAACAACAAATACAGTCTATTTATTATAACACCAACAGCATTTCAGCAGCTGCTTTTTCCCCCCAATGGGTGTATTGAGATGATTATTGCAGTAGCAGGTAAATACTCCAACATCTAATATAAGCCACTTGTGCAAAAAAAAACCCCAAAACAAACCCAATCCATTCAACTCCAAAACCTACAAATTCTGAGTTCTCAAGTTCAAAGAAAATAAATAAATAGAAACCATACCTAATTTACTTCATTTACAAAGGCTGTTCAACATCTTGCTTTCCTGAGCACAACAGGGAGCAACAAGAAAAAAAATCTGTTGCTATCAAGCCCAAGTTTCCCCTCTCCAGACACCCCCTGCCCTGATGCCCTCCAAGGTGTTTTGGCCACACAGTATCTGGCTTTCAGGTCGGGGTCTGCGTTCTTCTCCCCCTGCCCACCAGACGCAGCCATCCTCCGCTTGGCGGTCAACAGAGACTCTCCACCCAAGTAACTCAGCTTCTTTGAGTGACTTAAATTTCACTTTTCTCTTGTTCTTCTGAACATTTCACTGCGTACACATGAGAAGTAGCAGCAGGAGAAAGATAAGCTATATTTTTTTCTAACTATACTTCTCCTCGACAAGCCAGTTCTGTAATTCTGGGCAGATATGTATACATTTGTAAAAATTAGTCTGCAAATTCAGCTTAAGCTTTACAGATATGCATAAAAAAAACCTCACTGAAATGGAGCATCGGGTATAGAAACTGAAAAAAAAATTAAATTCACATGGTATCAACAAACGTACTATAATAAAATACCTACTCACTGAACAAAAGCGTTTCAACTACTTTTTATTGGCAGTAATGTCATAATGAGATGAACAATTTCCTCGTGCCCTCTCACATGAGTGAAAGCAGAAAAGGGAAGGAGAAGGAGCCAGGGTTAAAAGCTGCTGCTGTCCCACGATGGCTGGGAAGCAGGTGGTGAAGTGCAGAGCACATGTGGGAGGAAGCAGAGATGGAGGCTGGGCAGCGCTCTAATGAAGTGGTGCTGAAGAGGCAGACGATTTCATAAGGAGAAAAACATCAGGAAACTGGTCAAACCACAGAATCTCATCTGAAAAAGCTCAACTGTGTTGGACAGCAATAGCCAGAACAAATTTGGGGAAGAGGAGGAGGGGGA